ACTGCTGTGTACTGCACTCCTCACAAGAATACAAGTACGCACACTATATACAGTATCTGTATTCACAATACCATGGCAAGAACAATGTACCACTAACTTGCAATTCATAGGCAAAACTTTAAATGACATTTCAGTCCATCTTGGACTTGATAATCCTCCTGAACAAATTGAAATGTTGTCTGGAGTTTTCCCCTCAAATTGCAGGTTAGTTTTAAGTGCAGATGAACCCCAGAATTTAAGATTCGATTATACAATTTTTACTGAAAGCTATTTTGTGGACAGCTTTGTTTATTCACATTCTTTCTTGATAATGATTGTCTTTTTTTTTTTGCTTGATACATGACCCCTAACTTGAAAAAAGTAACACTAGGATTTTGTTAAAATGTGGTTATTCTTTCTTTTGAATGTCAATATTATGGAGTTAAGAGCAATAATTAAAAATATATGGGGGAGGGGTGTTGGATTAAAAGATAATGAATCTGATATGAAGCAGGGGATATCACAGTTGCTCTTTGCCAATGACACAGTTCCTGTGAGAAATTCTGAAGAGAAGTTACAAAAGTTGGTGGACATGTTAGGAGGTTGTGTAAAAAAAAAAAAAAAAGTGATGACAGAAAAAAGCAATGTAATGAGAGCAACAAAATTTTAGGCAATGAAATTGAATATCAGACTGGGAAAAGGGGGTTTATGGAGGTAATGAATGCACAGTATAGTGGACCCCTGGATATCAACCGATGCGGATATCAGCCAAATTGGATTTCAGCCGCTTTTTTGGCTGAAATTCTATCTTGGATTTCAGCTGGCAACTCAGAAATCAGCCATATGCATCCGCCCGCCACGCCGTGTGCAAGAGTCAGTCTGGCTGTGTCTCTCGGTGAGTGAGCAACACTCTGTGCATTCATCCAAACATTTTGTTATAATCCATTGTTTTTTGTGGTGGTTTATCAAGTGCTATTGCAAAATAAGTCACCATGGGCCCAAAGTAAGCTCTCTGGACAGTTTTTTGTGTGACAGTGGTGCAGTGACTCTCAAGCTGGTCCTAGTGCCAGTAAAAGACAAAGAAGGGAAGTAACCCTGGATAGGGACTTGATACCTGAAGTCCTTATGGAGGGGGATTCACCTTCCAAACAATAATCAGTCCTCCCTCTCTCCTCCTCCCTGTCTTCTATATGCCAACAAGAATCTTCAATAAAGGTAAATGTGATGTTAAATGTTCAGTTATCCCTTTCATTAGTCATTTTCTTTAGTTCTCATTGTTTTGTGTATGTAAAACTATAGTTAATCTTTAAAAAATGTATTTTTTGTTAATATTTTTGGGTGTCTGGAATGGATTAATTGTATTTACATTAATTCTTGTGGGAAATATTACTTCGGTTTTCACCCTTTTCAGATTTAGGCCAACCTTCTGTAATGGATTCAGGCCAAAATCCGGTGTTCCACTGTATTTGGATATTTGGGAGAAGATGTGTCTGCAGATGAGTCTATGAAATATGAGGTGAACTCCAGAATAGACTGAAGAAAAAAGGTAGGTGGTGTGTTGAGGCATCTGTGGAAAGAAAGAAATATATCTATGGAGATGAAATTAAAAATGTACTAGAGAAGGAAGCTGCAGGCACGAGAGATGTCATGCTTAAGAGTAATGTGTAGTGTGAATATTGTGTAAAGAATTCAATGTAGAAATTAGTAAATGGTAAATGGGTTATGAAAAAAATTATTTACAGGACAGAGGAGGGATTTGGTCATTTAAAGTGTTAAGAACAGTAAAGGATGATCATAAGGGTGTATAAATCTGGGATGGAAGAAAGGAGAAGCATTGGTCATTCCAGGAAAAGTTGGAGAGTGTCAAGGAGGTTTTAAGTGGTAGGAGTTTGAACATCCAACAAGCATGTGTGACTATGGTTAGATCGAGATGAATGAAGACAAGTGGTTTCAGGAATTTGTTGTGCTATTGAAGTGTGAACAAGATGATATTTATGAAGAAACTCAGGGAATCTGGTTAGATGGATTTGACCTGTAGAGGTGGGAAGTACAGTGCCTGCATTCTGAAGCAGGAAAATGTTACAGCTCGGAGGGTCATTTGAACTGTAAAATCTACATATTTCTGGCAAGACAGCTAATGAATGAATGTTATGGTGAATATTTCCTTTCATGGGTCACCCTAACCTAGTGGGAGATGTCTGAGGTAGCAAAAATTGCCCAAAAAAAAAAAAATAAAAAAAAAAAAATAAACAACTCTAACACAGGAAATTCTCTTTTATATGTACTCAATTTCAGGATTCACTTCACCTTCAGGAACCTAACCCCATGAAATATAGGGTACAACTTTATTGTACTGTACATTACGTACCATGGATGGCTCCAGGTCCCCCTCTAATGAAGCTAAACATTACAACCAAGTTGACCAGGTATCAGAGCATGCAACTGTACCACGTAAGAGCTGTATAAAACTTAATTCTAACTGGAGAAAGGCTATTGAAACTTAACGAAATATAGTACTGTAGTCTATCTTTATAATCCATGTAAATTTTGGTATGAAGTAAAGACATAACACTTACAGCCCAATACCCACAACTGTAGATTGATACTTACACATGCATAAACAATACAGTGTGAATGGAAAAATGTACACAATATTTCATAATGAAAATAATTTTGGTGCAGCTCAGAAAATAGCAAGAGTGCAAGTGACATACACAGGATCATAGTTAATTTCTTCTTTAGGGTTACACTTCTTTGGTGAAAAAATGCCAATGTATTAAAAAAAAAAGATAAAGTATAATGATCTCCCTGCTTAACAACCATTCACACAAAGTAATTTTGAATAACGACAAAAAAAAAAAAGGTCTGTTTCCTCACTTAATGGACAAATACTGCTCGTTCAGTGACCAAATTCCAGGTTATAGGTCTTGTCCCCGCCTTACTTATTAACAACTGCTTCCCTATACAATGACTAGATAATGTTTATAAATACTGTACATTGCTTATCACCTCACAGGTCTCCACAACTGGGACTAAATCAGCTGTTTCCTGCATGAGCAGTCAATGCACACAAACACTTTTTATATCCTGTGCATCATCAATTAAATGTGAGAAAAATGGGGGAATAATGTTTACACAATATAGGGAAGTTTTCATTGCATTTATAGATTTAGAAAAGGCATATCATAGAGAGGATAGGGGAACAATTTGGCAGAAGTAGCAAGTGTATGGAATAGGTAGTAATTTACTAAATGCTTTAAAGAGTGTTTATGAGGATAGTGAGGCTCAGGTTAGGATGTGTAGGAAGGAGAATACGTCCAAGTAAAAGTAGGTCTTAGACAGGGATGTGTAATGTCACCATAGTTGTTTAATATATTTATAATTTGGGTTGTAAAAGAAGTAAATGCTACGGTGTTGGGGAGAGGGGGGTGGGATTAAATTATGGGGAATGAAATACAAAATGGGAGTTGACACAGTTACATTTTGCTGATGATACTGTGCTTTTGGGGGATTCTAAAGAAAAGTTGCAAAGGTTAGTGAAGGAGTCTGGGAGGGTGTGTAAAGGTAGAAAGTTGAAAGTGAACGTAGATAAGAGTAAGGTGATGAGGGTATCAAACGATTTAGATAAAGAAAAATTGGATATCATATTGTAGGGAAGAAGTATGGAAGAAGTGGATGGGTTTATGAAGGATGAAGTTAACCAAAGAACTGATGAAGGAAAAAAGGCGAGTGGTGCATTGAGGTATCTGTGGAGACAAAAAAAGTTATCCATAGAGGCAAAGAAGGGAATGTACGAGAGTATAATGGTACCAACACTCTTACATGGGTGTGAGGCATGGGTTGTAAATGCTGCAGCAAGGAGGTGGCTGGAGGCAGTGGAGATGTCCTGTCTAAAGGCAATGTGTGGTGTAAATATTATGCAGAGAATTCATAGTGTGGAAATTAGGAGGTGTGGGTTACTAAAAGTATTAATCAGAGGGCTGAGAGGGGTTGTTGATGTGGTTTGATCATTTAGAGAGAATGGAACAAAGTAGAATGACTTGGAGAGTATATAAATCTGTAGGGAAAGGAAGGTGGGGCAGGGGTTGTCCCCAAAAAGGTTGGAGGGAGGGGGTAAAGGAGGTTTAGTGGGTTAGCGGCTTGGACTTCCAGCAAGTGTGTGTGTGTGTGTGTGTTAGATGGGAGTGGGGACCTGATGAGCTGTTGGAGTGTGAGTAGGGTAATATTTTGTGAAGGGATTCAGGTAAACTGGTTAGCCGGACATGAGTCCTGGAAATGGGAAGTACAATGCCTGCACTTTACAGGAAGGGTTTGGGATACTGGCAGTTTGGAGGGACATCTAAACTGTCATATCTGAGTGATGGTGAAAGTGTTAAAAGATGATGAAAATATTTTTCTTCCCTTTTGGGGTTTTTCTTTCTCTTTGGGTCACCTTGCCTCAATGGAAAATGGCCAATGTGTTAAAAAATATATATATAAATACATGCACATATAAATCATTAACACTTTAGGAAGACAGGGTCTAAGAATGTATGTGAGGGAAAGAAGCAATGTCATATTACACAGTGTACTTCTCACCACTTCAAAAGAGATGGGTCCATTATTTTGTAATTTCTTCATTTGCAAGTGTGCAAGAGTGACCTGTGCATTGATCTGTACTGAGCAAACAGCTAAATATTTCTGCAATCCAATGCATTTAATTGTAATGTTAGTACACAGTACATTAAAACACACTATAATAATACTTTGATCAGTAAGGTACTGCATAGTACGTTACTCTTTTGACGCATTAACCATGCTATGCAAGGTATTGCTGTATAGCTTAATCTTTCATAATTCTGAGTCATGCAGAAAACAGCGCCTTTACAGAAGCTAGATTACCTACTCCATGAACAGATGAAATTCTGGGTACAAAACAAAAGAAAGTTGAAGTTTCACAAATAGCAAAAAAAAAAAAAAAAAAAATTAACAAATACAAAGTTCTAAATTATCACCATAAATTTAAAAAGCATTCAACTTACTCTGATACAAGCCTGGAACCAGCTTATATACAATGTCTTGAAGTGTTTTGTCCAGTCGAATACTAAGAAGCGGTTTCGTCTTGTGCACTTGAACATCACATATTGGACAGAATTTGCTAGACTCTAAGTAACGCACAATACAGGTCTTGCAAACTGGAAAGTAAATAATAAAACCAATTACAGTATTTAAAAATTGCTAAACATAGTGTTTTTTACTAACAGTGTTTTATCTCAAACATGTAATTATTAGCTTAAACAAATTTCATTTTCTGTATTACTTAACAGCAAGTGTTTTACTGAATATATTATATACAATATGTACAAGCACTTTACTGTATGCCATATATTATAAGAATGTACCAACAGGATTTTATCTATGACATGTAATTATTAGTTTAAACAATTTTACTTTACTGAAAGTTTGTTATGTACAGTATATGTATCTCTATACCATTTATGATAATAATTTAACTTTTTTTACGAATGTAGCAAAACTTTAAGAACCTGAAAATGTACCGAATAATTACACATGCTGGCTTAGCAATTAATTCCATCATGACCATACTAAAAATGAAGCTCTTTGTAAACAGTAAAGTAATACTACTACATTGTTCTGCAAATTTATTTGGTAAATGACTGATGAAATGCTGCAGGAAAAATAAGGAAGAACTTATGAATGCTTTGGCAACAATTAAAAATGAGGGGGGAATAAGACATTTTTCCTTTATAAAATATTATTTTGTTTTAATAATAATGTAAAATAAAATGGAACTAAAATTATGAAACAGATATAGCAACAAATCATGAATCTTTAGCTAATTAAGGACCATAACTATTATGTAATGATACTGTATTGGATACCACTGACAAAATCAAACCTTATTTGTATTTGCTAGGAAATATAGGATCAAGAATATCTGAATTTAACCCTTTGACTGTCGCAGCTGTATATATACGTCTTACGAGGTACCGTGTTTGACGTATACTCATAAATTCTAGCGGCTTCAAATCAAGCAGGAGAAAGCTGGTAGGCCCACATGTGAGAGAATGGGTCTGTGTGGTCAGTGTGCACCATATAAAAAAATCCTGGAGCACGCAGTGCATGAGAAAAAAAAAACTCCGACCGTTTTTTTTAATTAAAATGCCAACTTTGTGGTCTATTTTTGTATAGTATTTATGGTTGTATTCTCGTTTTCTTGGTCTCATTTGATAGAATGGAAAACATATTATAGAAATAGAGGTGATTTTGATTGATTTTACTATAAAAAGAACCTAGAAATGGAGCTCAAAGTAGGGGAAATGTTTGATTTTTGCCAATGTTCAAAAGTAAACAAATGATGCCATTGTCCAATAAATGTCCAACTAGCCATTCTAATATGCAGTCATGAATGGGTTGATGTTATTTATACAATTATTACAGTATTGCAGTATGCATAATAGTAAGTCTTCTATTTTTTGTTTGAATAAAAATTCAAAATAGAAAGCAAGAGTAACATCAGAGGGGCCTGGAGACATGACTGATGAGCAAAGATGTTATTTTAGAGCCAGGAATGTCTGCATTGTTCATTCTGGACCTTATTTTGAAATTGTCATATTTTTTAGTTTTCGTGAAATTGGCCAAATTGCAAATTTCTGACCCCATTATTAGGTAGTTGAAATCAGTAAATGGGCAGTTTCTTGTACTCAATCGATAGAAAAAATGGAGTTCTAAAGAAATAGCTATGAGTTTGGGCGACTGGAACAATGGAATTAGCTGAAAATAGGGCTCAAAGTGGGCGAAATCGCCGATTTGTAAACAGCGCCGAGGTCGCTAACTTCGCGAGAGCATAATTCCGTCAGTTCTCCATCAAATTTCGTTTTTTTTGGTGTCATTACAATTGGGAAAAGATTCTCTATCATTTCATAAGAAAAAAAAAAATTTTTTTTTAAATTTTGCGACACCAGGAGACACCTCAGGATTGGGGGTTGCGACAGTCAAAGGGTTAAAAGTTTCTGGAGAACATGATAAGAAACAAAAAAATTCCAAGACATGAGAGTTAACTCCTCAAAAGTCATGACTTCAAAAAAGTCACCTATGAGTAAAATATTTTCCAATGGTTCTGCACTATCATACCACCAAACACTTTCAAGCACTACTTGTTACAGATGATACAACCTAAGTTTTTCAAGGAAAGACCTCAGCACTATAAAGCTTACAGTCAGTGAAATAAATCCAAAGATTTATTTTTTAATACATCAGCCATTTCCCACCAAAGTAGGGTGACCTGACAAAGAAGACAATCAACACAATGAGTATTATATATCAGCAATAGTCACAAAAGAGTGCAAAAACCTGTGTGTCATTCAAGTATTAAACTAGACAGAGGAGCCTTTACTAGACAACAAAAATCTGGTGAGAACTAATGCCACCTGCCAACAGCATAGTAACCTACTTAAATTCACAGAGTTACTGAATTCTCCACACACAATACTATGCACTATGTATCTACAGAACTCAAATTTGTTTTGCCAACTTTGACCTAAAACTGCACCTGTAGATGTAACAAATCTCATGAACACAGATATATTTAGAGTTAATTTGTACAAATTGTTTATGTACAGAATTAACAATATATATCCCACTCCATTTACTAAAGCTCTCGCTTCACATGGCGAGGGTCTGGGTCTGATTCCCAATGAGGGTAGAAACATTGGGCATGTTTCTTTACACCAGTTGTCTATATTCACCCATCAGTAAAATGGGTATCTGGGAGTTAGTCAACTGGCCTAATTTGCCCGAAATGCTGAGAGCATAACAAGCGGCTTTCTATATATAGTAGCATGTCACTGATGTCAGCTAGGCCTGTATACCATGTACGTACATGTACTTGTAGTAAATAAAGATATGAATTATTATAACATTATTATTCTTCAATTATTACTAGCTAATAGTTTTTAGTAGTAATACAATAGTTTTGCTGTACTGAAGTAAAATTAGTAGTAGTTGTCGTATAGTAGTACAGTATAGTAATAAAAGTAGTAGTAATAGTAGTAGAAAAAGACAAATAAATGATGAAAAGAAGAAAAAATCTACGACAATCTCTGTAACACAAATATATTTTCTTTGAAAATAATTTATTTTATTTATACACCTACCATCCGACTTATGACCGAGTTCGGTTCCGAGAAACCGGTCGTACGTCGAAATGGTCGTAAGTCGAACTTTACTACTGAATATCAACAAAACATTTTTGTAATTATTTTATTGTTTTATTTTGGTATTTCATGTTTTACTTTACTTTTTATGTTGTTAGTACTGTATTTTATACTGTAAGGTTTAGGATAAACACTGTGTACAACACAAATAGTTGTTTATTTCCCAGAAATTTGGCATAAAAAACACGGTCGTAAGTCAAGTGGTCGTAAGTCGAGCAGGTCGTAAGTCGGATGGTAGGTGTAATTACAAAACTATGTATGTACAGTAGTGTTTACTGCAATCATCAGTGTCCTATGGACACAACATTGTATTGTATATATTATCTTATTATCAGTCTATTAAACAGAACAGAGTACAAAAAAGTTTACAATGTTAAAACACTTTTGCTACCAACATTTGTATACGTACTAGAATATATTAAAATTTCTCTGGTCAAGGATTGTCTCAGATGCTATATTTACCTGGAGTTTACCTGGAGAGGGTTCCGGGGGTCAACGCCCCCCACGGCCCGGTCTGAGACCAGGTACTAGCCTTCTCTACACACAATACTGTGCACTCTGTACTAGCCTGCATCAAACGTTATTTTTGTACTCAGCATTTAAACAAAATCAATTTCACTTTTGCCAATTTATAAACGAATAAATATACATACTGTAACTCCAAAGATACAAGATTTCTAAAAAAATACGATTAGCTATACGTATACTATACTCACAGGAATGGAGGCACTCAACAATGGTGGTAGCGTCTACATAATACCCCCCACATAGAATGCAGAGGAGGTTCGGATGAAGCTCCGTTACGCGGAGCCGGCGTAGCCCACTCATCCCGCAACCTACAATCACAGGAGAAAAGGTCGATCATTACTAATGTAATTTCCATTTCAAATTACAGTACTCCTGGTAAAATTAACCCAAATGAACTCACCATGACTTGCATAGGAAATCCTTGAATACTTTAATAATTATTTTTTTAATTGCTTTACTAGATAACTTATGTACTGTACACTAAATTTCACTTGAAATATGCCAAGACTCTACCAATGTGTGCTAAATGCTGCTCATTATTCACTGGACCATGTTCATTATAACCATTAATAGGATCATATTTCTTAAGTGCAGTGCAGTCCAATCAAGATTATATATTATATTTTTAACTTCACAACACAGTTTATGCCAACTTTAGCATGTATAAATAAGTTAAGAGGTCTGCAAAAGTCAAGAATAGGTTCTCTGCATTTCTGCACAAATCACACAGGTCCACATTATAAAATGCTACCAACATAAAACCCAACATAAGAACTTCAAATACTATATACATATGTCCTGTGCATAGGTATAAACTTTAGCAACAAATATTTTACCAAACTAATTTATCAGTTTAAACAGTCTAATGATAAGGCCAATAGTCCTATGGCTAGAGCATCTAAAGAAACAAAAGCTTTCATCGTTCTCTTTACCCATCTATAAAAATAAAACAAAAACAATCCTCTTGTTATTTCCTGCAATATAGAATTTTTTGCAAACTGTATTGTATTTCAAGAAATACCCATGTATAAGGCATTCTGCAAGAGTAGTAATTTAGAGTTTTTGTAAATATTGTATAAACTGTATACTGTATTAGTTGTTTGTTTTATATATATTTTAAATATGTCAACATAATTCTGACAAATTTATTAAAGCAACTTTTCACAAAATTATTGGCTGTAAAGAACTGTATAGTACATGTAAACTAAAAAATGTCAATTTTATATAATAAGAGAATATAAACAGTATGCACATAGAGGTGTGTATACATACTGGAGTTACGCAAATTATTAAACAAGAATTAAAGTACAGTCAAACCTCAGTTTTCGTATGCCCTAGTTTTTGTGTGATTAAATTTTTGATGATTTTTTTCATCGAAATTTTGTCCCAGTTTTTGTACATCCACTCAGTTTTCGTACAGTTGAAAATGGTCCGTACCAAACTCGTCAGCCTGCCCCTGTGACTCAGCCACTTATTTCCCAAAATCGAGCGCCCACACAAAGCATCCCATGTGTTCATGACTCAATCTGTCTGTTTTTCGTTGAGTGAGCATCACCCCACACATTCATCCAAAACATTTTGCAATAATCCATTGTTTTTTGTGCTTGTTTATTGAGTGCGACTGCTAAATAAGCCACCATGGAGCCAAAGAAAGTTCCGAGTGCCAGCCTTTTGATAAAGAAGGCAAGAAACGTGATAGAATTCAAGAAAGAACTCGTAGCAATGGACGACAGTGCTGCTGTTAGTGAATTTAAGGCCAGCAGAGGCTGTTTCAGCAAATTCAAGAAGCAAACTGGCATACACGGATGGTAAGGCATGACGAGGCTGCAAGTTTGGACAAACATGGGGCCGAAGAATTCGTTGATGAATTCAAGGAGTACGTAGATGCTGAAAGATTCCTCCCCTAACAAATCTTCAATTGTAACGAAGCAGGCCTCTTTTGGAAGAAAATGCCGAAGAGGACCTACATCATGCAGGAGGAAAAGGCACTGCCAGGACACAAGCCTATGAAGGATAGGCTAACTCTTGTTCTGTGGTAACACTGGTAGGAATTTCAAAGTGAAGCCTTTACTGGTGTATCACTCTGAAAATACCCGAGTGTTCAAGAAAAACAATATCATCAAGAGTAAATTGTGTGTGATGTGCAAGGCTAACAATAAGGCATGGGTCACAAGGCAAATCTTCATTGAGTGGGTCAATGAATTGTTTGGCCCAAGAGTGAAGAAATACCTCCTGGAAAATCAATTGCCACTCAAGTGTCTCCTGGTAATGGACAATGCTCCTGCTCATCCTCCAGACTTGAAGACCAATTGTTGTACTAGTTTAGTTTCATCACAGTGAAGTTCTTGCCCCCTAATACCACTCCTCTCACCCAGCCCATGGACCAGCCAATCATTTCAAATAAAAAATCTACACCAAAGCACTGTTTCAAAGGTGCTTTGAAGTGATCTCGGACACTGAATTGATCCTAAGAGAGTTCTGGAGGAATCACTTCAGTATCCTCAATTACATGAGCCTTATAGATATGGTTTGGCAGGGAGTGACTTCCAGAACGATGAACTCTGCTTGGAGAAAACTGTGTCCAGAATATGCCCTCAAGAAGGATTTTGAAAGGTTTAAGGCTGACCCTGACGACCCTCTGCCTGTTGTGGAATCTATTGTGTCTTTGGGGAAGTCCATGGGGTTGGATGCGAGTGGCCAGAATGTGGAAGAGTTGGTGGACGACCATAGGGAAGAGCTAACCACTGAAGGGCTGCAAGACCTTCATCTGGAACAGCAACAAATTGCAGCTGAGGAAATTGCTTCAGAGGAGGAGGAAGAGAGAGGGGAGAATGTGCCTTCTTCAGTGATTAAGGACATGTGTGCAAAGTGGAATAAGTTGCAAAGTTTTGTGGAGAAATATCACCCTAACAAAGCTGTTGCAAGCCGTGTCTACAACATGTTCAATTACAATGCCTTGTCCCATTTTAGGCAAATCTTAAAGAGACGCCAGAAACAGACCTCTCTGGACAGATTTTTTGTGCGACAGGGGTCCAGTGACTCTCCAGCTGGTCCTAGTGACAGTAAAAGACAAAGAAGGGAAGTAACCCTGGATAGGGTCTTGATACCTAAATTCCTTATGGACAGGGATTCCTGTTCCAAGTAATAACCTCTCCTCCTCCCTCTCCCCTTCTCGCTGTCTTCCATACACCAACAGGTGTCTTCAACAAAGGTAAAAGTGATGTTAAATGTCCATTTATCCATTTCATTAGTCATTTATATTTATTTCTCATTGTTTTCTGTATGTAAGAGTATAGCTATTCTCTATACAATGTAATTTTTGTTAATATTTTTGGGTGTCTGGAATGAATTAATTGGATTTACATTATTTCTTATGGGAAATATTGCTTCAGTTTTCATGTAAATAGGTTTTCATGACTTATTCGAATGGATTAATAATGAAAACCGAGGTTCCACTGTATCCTGGACATAAGTGAACGAGTTACAGGTGCAGCAAATTAGGCCTTACATTTAAACCATCTAACCAAGCTATTTAGCAATATGCATTATGTATGCAAACATTTACATATGTAAATACTATTTACCCAGAATTTTCACACTGCAATGCAAAAACAGAAAAAGCACCCCATACCAACTGTAAGACTATTTGCTAAAAAAAACACCCCATACCAACTGTAAGACTATTTGCTAAATTCTGTATAATGATGACACATATGCCTAAATAATATACAATAAATATAATATGAACCCCAATGAAAATAAGTCTTACTGACTGCAGAGATATCTTTGTTAAATTTCCATAATTTATAACATATACAGGCCACTAACATACTCTTAACCCTTTCAGGGTTTCGGCCGTACTAGTACGGCTTACGCACCAGGGTTTTTGACGTACTACTACGCCTAAATTCTAGCGCCCTCATATCTAGTGAGAGAAAGCTGGTAGGCCTACATATGAAAGAATGGGTCTATGTGGTCAGTGTGCACGGTATAAAAAAAATCCTGCAGCACACAGTGCGTAATGAGAAAAAAAAACTGACAAGGTTTCTGGATTAAAACAGCGACTTTGCACTGTATTTTCGTATGGTATTTATTGTTGTACTCTTGTTTTCCTGGTCTCATTTTATAGAAAGGAAGACATATTATAGAAATTGAGATGATTTTGACTGGTTTTACAAAGAAAAGTACCTTGAAATTGAGCTCAAAGTAGCAGAAATGTTCGATTTTTACCAAAGTTCAAAAGTAACAAATCGTGCTATGCGTCCAATACACGTCAACTGGTGAGTCTAATATTCTTTCACAAATGTAATGATATTATTTATACCATTTCTACACTAATGCAGTAGTCTGCATAACAGTAAATCTTCTATTTTTTTTGTGAGAATAAAAATTCAAAGTGGAAAGCAAAAGAATGTAAGAGGGGCGTGGGGATGTGACTAATGAACAGAGGAAATATTATTTTAGTGCCAGGAATGTCTTTCATTTTTATTCTGGACCCTATTCGGAAATTGGCATTTTTTGAAATTTGTGTGAAATTGGCAAAATTGCTAAATTCTGACCACTGTATTGGATAGTTGAAATCGGTAAATGGGTGGTTTCTTGTACTCATTCAATAGAAAAATGGAGTTCTAGCGAAATATTTATGATTTTTGTCTACAAGTACACTGGAATTGGCTGAAAATAGGGCTCAAAGTGGGCAAAATCGCCGCTGTGTAAACATCGTCGAGACCGCTAACTTCGCAAGAGCATAATTCCGCAAGTTTTCCATCAAATTTCATACTTTTGGTGTCATTATGATCGGGAAAAGATTCTCTATCTTTTCATAAGAAAAAATAATTTTTTTTTTTGAAATTTGGCCGACCCTGAGAACAAGTCTCTGAGAAGGTCTGCCAACCCTGAAAGGGTTAATACAACCCTTGTAAAAATTTGTAATAATCAAAGTAAATTGTAATAAACTTGAATAAAACTTATCTTGCCAATTTCTTATTTTTGGTATTATTCAAGGAGTACTAATTATGACTCAATAAATTACTAAAAAAGGATCTGTTAGATAGATAATTTTAGGGGCTATCAAAGTGTATCTGTTTAACTTGAAGATAACCGAAAAGTCCCAATGAAAAGAAGCCACTGAGTGGCTTTCCTGGGTTATCCTAGATTATGAACACTCCAAGATAATTCAAATAGTTTTTCTGCTAAGTATACATATTTATTTAGCATTCATTTGACCCTAATTTCTAATAAACAGAAAGGTAATGCTGAACTTTAAAAGTTCTAATTATATCCCCTATGCTCAAAATATAAAATTTATAATGAGAGAGAGAGAGAGTGAGAGAGAGTGAAAGTGAGAGAGAGTGAGAGAGTGAGTGTGAGTGAGTGAGTGAGTGAGAGTGAGTGAGGTGAGAGTGAGTGAGAGTGAGTGAGAGTGAGAGAGAGTGAGTGAGAGTGAGAGTGAGTGAGAGTGAGTGAGAGTGAGTGAGAGTGAGAGTGAGTGAGAGTGAGTGAGAGTGAGTGAGAGTGAGTGAGAGTGAGTGAGAGTGAGTGAGAGTGAGTGAGAGTGAGTGAGAGTGAGTGTGAGTGAGAGTGAGTGAGAGTGAGAGTGAGTGAGAGTGAGTGAGTGTGAGCGTGAGTGAGCGAGTGAGAGTTGTAGACAGCCTGTACTGTGTGCACAGACAGCCCATGCTGTCTGCCAGCTTAGTTCATATTTCGCGTCATGCTGGTGCTGCCACCTATAGGCCTTGCCATTTCAGTATGCCCAGACTTGCCTCACCCTCACTCACACAGCGGCCTAGCAGGAAGACACAAGCACTCCCAGCTCTCTCTCGTGGGCATGGCCCTCCCGGGCCATGGGCACAACACAAGCCTTTGTACCCACTACGACTTAACAATAAAGTAAGAAGCCTCCGAAGAAGTTTATCATTAACCACCCGCTACAGCTTACCAAACAAATCTCGTTATAATTGGTGGCAGCGGTGGGATACTGTAGCGTGGGGTCACTGTGACGCCACTTACAATTCTCGGAGAATTTCGGCAAATTCGGGCCTGGATCCTGCTTGTACCTGTGTCTGGATGCTCAAACGTGCAGACACGACATCAGGATAACTTGTTGAGAGACGGATGCTTCTTGTATGGGATGATGAAGTGAAGATGACTTCATACCAACTGGTGATACCAGAGTCCATGATACCAGCTACTCTTAGGTTGATCCACAATGTCCCAGGTGTAGCGCACCCCGGGAAGGACCGCAGTATCAAACAGGCACGAATGAAATACAGTGGACCCCCGGTTAACGATATTTTTTCACTCAATAAGTATGTTCAGGTGCCAGTACTGACCGAATTTATTCCCATAAGGAATATTGTGAAGTAGATTAGTCCATTTCAGACCCCCAAACATACACGTACAAACGCACTTACATAAATACACTTACATAATTGGTCGCATTTGGAGGTAATCGTTATGCGGGGGTCCACTGTATTTCTGGCCTAAGATGGCAGCGGACATTGCCAAGCATGTACACCAGTGTGTTGTTTGCGTACAGCACAAGGGTACCATTACAGGTCCTAACCCCATTCTAAAGTATCCCATTACAAAGGAGCCCTGGGAGAGAACTTCTGTCGACCTGTTGACGAACTTCTCGACCTCGGAGAAGGGAAATAAGCACCTGCTTGTAATGGTAGATAACTTGACATGGTACAGTGAATTAGTACCCATTCCTGATAAAACCGCCGAAACGGTCGCTAATGCTTTCCGTGAGCATGTTGTTCTTCGTCATACTTGCCCACGTGTCCTTCTGTCAGACAATGGGTCTGAGTTTATAAATGGCATAATGCAGGATCTTTGCTCCAGATTCAACATTCATCAAGCGCCAGTAGCTCCACGCCACCCTGCGAGTAATGGTCTTGCTGAACGTACAAATCGCAAAGTCCTGGAGGTGCTCAGAGTAACCGTTAACCCAAGTTGTACTACATGGGATGAGGCTATCCCAGATGTTCAGTGTACATTAAATTCCTCCCTCAACAGCTCGATCGGTGAGACACCTCATTTTGCTTTGTATGGCTATGACAAGCGCTTACCATATGAAATTCTGTTTGCTCCACCTAGACCTACTTATGATACTGATAACCCCAGTGTAGTAAAGATGAGGACACAATCAGACTAATGCTAGGGACAACCCATCTATCCCTTCTCCCACTACTACTGGTACGGAAGACGGCCCAGTAAGGCTCCATACTTATGGCCTGCGACCCAGGACAACAGTACATTTCTGTGACATTGACGTACCTACTGACTTGTCCAACTCCTACGCTAGTTATGCTAATTGTTTGCTTGCAGAAATGGGTATAAATGCACACACTTTGTATAACTAGTCGATAATGGAGTCAGGGTGGACAACATCATGTAATTATGTAAATACTTTTAGAAGGGTACCCAGAGTGTAATAAATTCCATGGATGTAGTATTATTGTAGGTATGTGCACCCAGTGTTTTTATATAAAAAAAAAAGAGCCTGTATTACGGTCAGGGCAGTGCTGCCCTCTGAGTCACATGTCACACCTTAGGAAATGCTACTGTCAGTCATTGTTTGCAGATGTGAGGGTGCAACAACGTTCGTAGACAAGTGGTCAACTGATGTTCAGCCCTGCGGATAACCTGTATATAGAAGATTTTAGTTCCAGTGCTGACGTCTCCGGACTCTCTCCTCGATGAAACAGCGCGGGCAAACCAGTTTTCTCTTCCCCTGGTTGGGAGAGTTTTTTTTTGCCTGTTGCATTTTTATGTCCATTTTTGATTTACTAGTGAGCGAAAGCCAGTCCCTCTCTGGGGTAGCTAGTGTACGTAATTCCTTTATACCTACGGGCCCACCAGTATTGTCGGTAGGTGGCCGAGCGTATGTAGACAGCCTGTACTGTCTGCACAGACAGCCCATGCTGTCTGCCAGCTTAGTTCACATTTCGCGTCATGCTGGTGCTGCCACCTATAGGCCTTGCCACTTCAGTATGCCCAGACTTGCCTCACCCTCACTCACACAGCGGCCTAGCAGGAAGACACAAGTACTCCCAGCTCTCTCTCATGGGCATGGCCCTCCCGGGCCATGGGCACAACACAAGCCTGTGTACCCACTACGACTTAACAATAAAGTAAGAAGCCTCCGAAGAAGTTTATCATTAACCACCCGCTACAGCTTACCAAACAAACCTCGTTATAGAGTGAGCGAGTGAGAGTGAGCGAGTGAGAGTGAGCGAGTGAGAGTGAGTGAGAGTGAGAGTGAGAGTGAGTGAGTGAGAGTGAGAGTGTGAGTGTGAGTGTGAGTGTGAGTGTGAGTGTGTGTGTGTGTGTGTGTGTGTGTGTGTGTGTGTGTGTGTGTGTGTGTGTGTGTGTGTGTGTGTGTGTGTGTGTGTACGTACTCACCTAGTTGAGGTTGCAGAGGTCGAGTCCAAGCTCCTCTGCTTAAAGCTATGTATAGATCCTGCCTCCATTACATCGCTTCCCAAACTATTCCACTTCCTGACTACTCTGTGGCTGAAGAAATACTTCCTAACATCCCTGTGATTCATCTGTGTCTTCAACTTCCAACTGTGTCCCCTTGTTGCTGTGTCCAATCTCTGGAACTTTGTTCACCTTGTCAATTCCTCTCAGTATTTTGTATGCCATTATTATGTCCCCCCTATCTCTCCTGTCCTCCAGTGTCGTCAGGTTGATTTCCCTTAACCTCTCCTCGTAGGACATACCTCTTAGCTCTAGGACTAGTCTTGTTGCAAACCTTTGCACTTTCTCTAGTTTCTTTACGTGCTTGGCTAGGTGTGGGTTCCAAACTGGTGCCGCATACTCCAATATGGGCCTAACGTTCACGGTGTACAGGGTCCTGAACGATTCCTTATTAAGATGTCGGAATGCTGTTCTGAGGTTTGCTAGGCGCCCATATGGTGCAGCAGTTATTTGGTTGATGCGCGCTTCAGGAGATGTGCCTGGTGTTATACTCACCCCAAGATCTTTTTCCTCGAGTGAGGCTTGTAGTCTCTGGCCCCCTAGACTGTATTCCATCTGTGGTCTTCTTTGCCCTTCCCCAATCTTCATGACTTTGCACTTGGTGGGGTTGAACTCCAGGAGCCAATTACTGGACCAGGTCTGCAGCCTGTCCAGATCTCTTTGTAGTTCTGCCTGGTCTTCGATCGAATGAATTCTTCTCATCAACTTCACGTCATCTGCAAACAGGGACACTTCGGAGTCTATTCCTTCCGTCATGACGTTCACAAATACCAGAAACAGCACTGGTCCTATGACTGACCCCTGTGGGACCCCGCTGGTCACAGGTGCCCACTCTGACACCTCGCCATGTACCATGACTCGCTGCTGTCTTCCTGACAAGTATTCCCTGATCCATTGTAGTGACTTCCCTGTTATCCCTGCTTGGTCCTCCAGTTTTTGCACTAATCTCTTGTGTGGAACTGTGTCAAACGCCTTCTTGCAGTCCAAGAAAATGCAATCCACCCACCCCTCCCTCTCGTCTTACTGCTGTCACCATGTCATAGAACTCCAGTAGGTTTGTGACACAGAATTTCCCATCCCTGAAACCATGTTGGCTGCTGTTGATGAGATCATTCGTTTCTAGGTGTTCCACCACTCTTCTCCTGATAATCATCTCCATGACTTTGCATACTATACATGTCAGTGACACTGGTCTGTAGTTTAGTGCTTCATGTCTGTCTCCTTTTTTAAAGATTGGGACTACATTTGCTGTCCTCCATGCCTCAGGCAATCTCCCTGTGAGTGAGTGAGTGTGAGTGTGAGGGTGAGGGTGAGGGTGTGTGTGTGTGTGTGTGTGTGTGTACTCACCTAATTGTACTCACCTAATTGTGGTTGCAGGGGTCGAGACTCAGCTCCTGGCCCCGCCTCTTCACTGATCGCTACTGGATCCTCTCTCTCTCTGCTTCCTGAACTTTGTCATACCTCTTCTTAAAACTATGTATGGTTCCTGCCTCCACTACTTCACTTGCTAGGCTATTCCACTTGCTGACAACTCTATGACTGAAGAAATACTTCCTAACATCCCTGTGACTCGTCTGAGTCTTCAGCTTCCAGTTGTGACCCCTTGTCCCTGTGTCCCCTCTCTGGAACATCCTATCTCTGTCCACCTTGTCTATTCCCCGCAGTATCTTGTATATCGTTATCATGTCTCCCCTGACCGGTCACTTCTGTCCTCCAGTGTCGTCAGTCCGATTTCCCTTAACCTTTCCTCGTACGACATTCCCTTGAGCTCTGGGACTAGCCTTGTTGCAAATCTTTGTACTTTCTCTAACTTCTTGACGTGCTTGACCAGGTGTGGGTTCCAGACTGGTGCTGCATACTCCAGTATGGGCCTAACATACACAGTGTACAGTGTCTTGAACGATTCCTTATTAAGGTATCGGAACGCTACTCTCAGGTTTGCCAGGCGCCCGTATGCTGCAGCGGTTATTTGGTTGATGTGTGCCTCCGGTGATGTGCTCGGTGTTATGGTCACCCCAAGGTCCTTCTCCCTGAGTGAGGTCTGTAGTCTTTGTCCACCTAGCCTATACTCTGTCTGCGGTCTTCTTTGCCCCTCCCCAATCTTCATGACTTTGCATTTGGCTGGATTGAATTCGAGAAGCCAGTTACTGGACCACATGTCCAGCCTCTCCAGGTCTCTTTGCAGTCCTGCCTCATCCTCGTCCGATTTAATTCTTCTCATCAACTTCACGTCATCTGCGAACAGGGACACTTCAGAGTCTATTCCTTCCATCATGTCGTTCACATATATCAAAAATAGCACTGGTCCTAGAACTGACCCCTGTGGGACCCCACTCGTGTGTGTGTGTGTGTTACCATTTTGTCCTAGGCACATGTCGATTAGACACTAGGCCTGTGCATGTGTGTGTATGTGCATGTGTGTATGTGTATGTGTGTATGCATATATGTGTGTGTATGTGAGTGAGTGTGTGTGTGTGTGTGTGTGTGTGTGTGTGTGTGTGTGTGTGTGTGTGTGTGTGTGTGTGTGTGTGTGTGTGTGTGTGTGTGTTTGTGTGTGTGTTTGTGTAGTCACCTAGTTGTACTCACCAAATTGA